TCAACCGATTTTATTAAATCGTTATCGAATAAAAAACCACAACCGATTTATGTTGCAACCGATTTAAACCGAATTTAAATCGAATTACACCAAACCGGTTTCAACCTCTAAACGTTTCCAATTCTTGTCACAAAGTGTTTCTTGTTGTTATGTTTATTAAAGAACTAGTAGTAGCTTCAGCCTGCAAACAATAAAAGAAAAAAAGTTAATTACTAATATAAAACTCAACAAAATTAGAATTAACAAGAATTACAACTCCATAGCCTGTAGCTGTTCCTGTATTTTTTTCGTTCAATTCGAATTTTATTTCAATACGCGCTTGATTCCACGAAAAGTTTCACGATGACCCTTAACACAATAATATTAACAAGGCATGCTTAAATTCGACACGGAACTACAGAAAGTAGGTTCCGATCCTAAGGTGAGCAACATTCGTTGTCACCGTAGTTTCGACCGTAATGTAAGCAACATCCCGTAACTATCATTGACCGTTAATTGAAAAATGAATAACTCTATACACATTAGGTATAGAATTTAACCGGACCGGAAATTTTGGTATTAAGAATCTTCTCGATCCAAAGTAGGTTATATTTTCGAGATTCAAGGCTTTTCAGGTTTTCAGTATTCTTATTAAGGTCCGTCCTTATAACCGAATTATGAAAATCATGCTATACTCCAGAGATTCGTAATTTGTTCTATAAACTTTTATATCTTATATAAAATTGCTAGATTAAGAAAGTTAAGAGACACCGCGACTGAAATTGTCAAGCTTTAGTTCTAAATTTCGTAATTTGAAATCATTATCGGTCTGTTAATTGGACGGAAACTCTTTTGCAGTTTGCAGTTCTACCTCAGCTTCAACATTTTTAAAGTAAGAGGCCGGTCTAAAATAAAATTATTTAAATTATATAAAAAACGAACACCATATCTTTTTAAATTCTCAATGAATTAAGAAAAAATTTCCGATTATAGACTTACCATACTATTGCCAATAATATTTTATTTCATCTATTAATACCTTCCCTTAACCGCATTTTTTATATTCATATTTAATTCTATTTTTTATAAACCTCTTCATTATTATCTGAATATCGTTATAAAATAAATACCTGCAACAAATTCATGCGAAAAGTAAATACGAAGGTTTGGGCAAATCTGTTATTAAAAATTTTCTATATTAAATGTTATTACCAGTTTCATCCGCTTTCAAACTTTCCAAATTATCGAATGACTCTTCAGTACTCTAAATGCTCAAAAATTAAGTCGTGACCGATTTCAGTTCTCAAAAATTTATTGACAACCCGTTTCGCCCAATTGATTATTATACGTTAATAATACATTAATCCGATTAAGTATGGTTGGGACTTGAAATTAGCCCGCTGGATTTAAAAGGTATTTTGATACCTTGCTAATCAGTTTGTATTGTTACACAAAATAAAAATAGAAAAAAGTATGCGGATCATGTTCTATTTAGAATAACGCTGCCGTTTACAAACTTTTTTAATTTTCTAATTATGACTTCTGTTCGTAAAGATATTAAATATGTTCTCGATAAAGATAAAGAGCATGAATTTCATCAACAAGCGATAGATGATAAATCTCTTACAGAAAACGAAGTCGATAAATCATTCGCAATGGAAATGGCGCCGCCTAATGTTTGTGAAAGTTGTCAAAATTTATATACTTCATCAGATTGCAATCATTGTATTCGAAATTATTTAATAGCAAATTTTTCAAATTGGACGTCCGGAAATGATGAAATTGATGATTTAATACAGAGATGTCAAATGGAAACAAATCGGCCATATAATATAATTGAATGGATCCCACATAAAAATTTACAAAATATAAAATATTTAACCCAAGGTGGTTGTTCTGAAATATACACGGCAGATTGGATTGGTGGATGGTTTACTGAATGGGACTCTGGTACTCAGCAATTAAAGAGAGAATGGACAGCAAAAAAAATAGTCCTTAAAAGATTAAGAAATGTTGAAAGTTCTAATAGAAGATGGTTTGAAGAGGTAAATATACAGTATTTGTCAAAAGAGTCATGTTAAATTATTAAGAAACCTAATATATTAATTCAGTTTATAGGCACAATCTCATGTATCATTGAACAATGAATTAGTATTTTTTGTTCATTGTTATGGTTTTACTCAAGATTCGGATCCGTTAAATAAAGATTATTTCCTTGTATTGGAATTATTGGATATGGATTTAAGAAAATATTTACAACAAAATCATAAGCAACTTGCATGGAAAGAAAAAATTGATATTGCTTTTCAAATAATTTATTTTTCAATTTATTGGCTTCATAAAGCAAATGCAATTCATAGGGACTTGCATTCAGGAAATATATTAATAAAGTCATTTAATTCACGTGATTTTATTATGTGCTAAATTAGTGATTTTGGATTTTGTGGGCCCATTGATAAAGCCATTAGGAAGTGTATATGGAAATCTTCCTTACATAGCACCTGAAGTTATTTCTGGAAAAGAATGTACCTTTGCATCAGATATTTATAGTATTGGTATGCTTATGTGGGAGATTTCATCTGGACAACCACCTTTTGCTGATTTTGATCATGATTATAATCTTGCAATGAAAATAATTAACGGAATGAGACCAAAAATATTACCGGGAACTCCATTGGGATATAGAAAATTCATGGAAAAATGCTGGGACGCTGATCCATTAAAAGACCTAATATTGATTTTAAGGAAATTATTATTTTTCAAGATGAAAAAGATACTATATGTAATGATGATAATGAAAAATTTAATACAAGCTCTAGTTCAATTAGTTCATTATCTAGAAAGTTTAGTAAGGTTCATATGTTTGAAGGGTTACCTGAACCAAGAAATGCTACTAAAGGTATCTGTTAAGTTTTATTTATTGTATTTATAATTAGAATTATATAAATTTATATATTTTTATTTTATTTTACTTTTAACTAATAGAAGAACATGAAGGTAAATATTAAAAAGTTTATTATACCAAAGAATCGAACATACTAATATTCAATATTTTTGTTTAAACAAAAGTTTATGATAGTAAGCAAAGCGGCTTTGAGATTCCGGATAGTAAGTATTATTAAATATAAATTTAATAATTTATAATTTTATTTAATTAATTATTATTAATTATTAAAACGAAAGTTATATGCAAAGATCAAACTGAACGGAATAATTCTACAGAACAAATTAGTAAGATTGTTTATATTTTCTAATATCATTTAATAATTTAAGAATTTACACAATTAATCTTACAGATGAAAATAGTGGGGACAAAGGCAAATCTAAAAAAGTTAATGATGGTAATAATTCAATTTACGAAAATATTAAATTTACTCATTCGCCATTCAATAATTCATGTTTATTTTGTTAGAAAAATCTAAAAAAGTTGATCTTAATAATTATGGTAAGTTATTAAAGTATGCTTAAATTCTTTAATTTTATAACTACTAGAACATTTATTTCAATTAAAATATTACTTAGTAATATTCAAAAAATATTGCATTGAAAGTGATGGTAAGATATATAATTAATTATAAACAATTTAATTTTATTATTTAAATATGATCTAATAATTATCAAACTATAGATGATGAAATATATAATAATCCAAACCTTCATTCGGAAGATCAAGAAGAACTAGAAATCATTTAAATGATTCATTTATCATTCATATCATTTGTTAAGTCAATAATTGAATGAATATAAAATATTTGGTTTGGTCAAATTTATTTAAGATAATTTAATAATGCTTCGAGTAGGATACTATAATTATCTTTATTAAATAATAACACCAAGATTAAGAGAGTAGCAATTATTTTTGCAAATTTTATTATTTGCAAATTAAATAACTTGTTTCGTTTATATATATATATATATAGAAGGTTATTTATAAAATATTATGTTCAAAGATTCAAATATTTTTTTCTTTAAAAAAAAAATCACATGGTTATTTAATTAATATAAAACGACCTATAAACGAAATTATTAAACTAAAGTGATTTTTTAACCTTTTTGCATCACTTTAATGAAATTACATTCGAATTTCGAAAAGATTTCGATCGTTTCGATCGTTTTTTTGGTGGGATAATTGACCATAAAAATAAATAAAAAATATATATTATTTTCCTCAATAATTTAATTTAGGCTGGGCAAAGTATATTTTTAGATTCTCGTGACCCGGCCGTGTCAGTTTTACGAAAATTCATGAAATTTTTTTTTATAGTAAAATATCTATCACGTGACTATATAATCTACTTTTTTATAATAAATTCCAAAAATGTGAATTTTCGACCTTTCGTTACTTGAAATTTAACATCCTTAAACCTGTTGTATGACATTCATTGCAATAATAGTACTTCATCACGCTGATTTTATTAGATTCATCACATTCGTCGGTACTTTTCCAAATATCTTCAAATAAATCATTTGAATAATAAGAAACTTCCATGGAATTGCTACATGTTAATTTATCAACAACTTATAAATTTTCAAAATTCTCCCTACATCATCACTTTTGCTATTCTAATCATTAACATCTTCCATTTCTGTGCTTGAGTTTGCTAAAGCTTCAAAAGAATCACCGCATATATAAAACAATACATATAAAAATTTACATATATAAAAAAGGGTGACCATTTTCAATTTTAAAATTTTATGTCTCAAGTATCTAATTTCCTTTGCCTGGCCTTAATTTAAGAATAATTATTAATTAATTAAGACCTCGTCTAGTTTTAATATTTTTTTTTTAAAAAAAAAAATAAAAATAAAAATAAAATGCGGTCGATAATTTTTATATTAAAAACTAAGTTAAATATATTAATTTATACTTTATTTTTTTTTGACACTATTAATTAATATTTAAATATGACAAATAAATGAATTCTAATACAACATATAACAAAATATGCTCAAAATGTTTAAATGAAATTTACAACTAATTATGCGTAAAAATAAACCTAAATGAAATCTATATTAAATTTCTATAATATGAAATGAAACATATTCTAAATAAATTATCCAATTTACTTTATAAAAATACTTAAAAAGTTCAAAATGAAGTTAGTAAGCTTTAAACTACAATTTCTAATAAAGGTTCTAAGAAGACCAACAGGAGTGGACATTCGCAATGCCGCAGATCTAGATTTTAACACATCGACGGTTGATCTTTTTCGCATTTCATTTTCATATTCTTGAATGCAGGAAATAGGATCTTCTGATGAATAATTAAATAATGCTTGGGAGAGAAGTTCGGCATCTTGGAAAGCATTATTTGTTCCCAATCCAAATACAGGATTCATAGCATGAACAGAATCTCCTAATAATGTTACTCAACTACTTGTCCAAGGTTGAATAGATGATTAATATCTTGATAAGGTCTTCGTAGAGTCGGATTATAAGTTTTAAATTGAAATTTTTCTAGATAATTTGGAGCTGATTTAGGAACCAAGTCCCATAATTCTAATATAATATCATCAAATTCGCATCCGGATCCAAAGTTTCGAATCATCTGCTTGACATGTTCAATGACTGATGCAGAATCATTATCATCAACTTTGATTTTATCGGATTCAACGTCGTCTAATTTTGTGGGATACGAATAATTCAAGGTTACTCTGTAATGAAGCTCATTAGAATTGCTTTTATTCTCGTAACCTGGCTCTTGCTCGATTGGAATTAGACGAAAAATAAGCGTTGACGAATCACCATGTAATCCGAGTGAACTTTGTAATAAACTATTTCCTTGTAATTTTATGAATCTGTCCATAAGATGTTTAGGTACAGCAACATTTGCTACGACATTTGTTATTCCAAAATCGAAAATTTGTAATTCGGGTAGTCTCTGTTTTCGAACTAAAAATAAACGTAAGAAAAATATATATATTTATTCTATTTTATTCAAGGGGATTTTTGAGGAATTTAAGCTTACCTGGAGAATTAATTCCATCTGCGCCAACTAAGATATCACAAAATTTTTGCGAACCATCATCAAACATTACCCAAACAACATCTTTGGTTTCTTCGTATCTAATGCATTTTTTGCCCCAGTGTACCGGTACACTTTCTAATAATACATCTCTAAGTCTATCACGATAAGTAACAATCAGTGAATACTCATTAGGAAATTTTACAAGTTCGTTAAAGTCTTTATATTGTTTAGATGGTGGATTTAATAAAAGACTTCCTTTATTATCGAAAAGCGAGACACCATGGAATTCTACGTCAGGAAGTGGGTTTGGCATCGCTTTATGAAGGTTTGAATTGATCGAAAATGGTACACAATTCAAAAGCGATCGAGTTCCGGCACAGTTCAACGCTATATGATATCCTTGTCATCGTTCTATAATAGTTTACGAGTTATTTAACGTCACGTTTAAAAAAGAAATAGGATCAATTATGAGTACAAGAAATCTTTTATACCTCTTGGACTGGAATCCCGTTCGAAGATTTTTACATCGAATTCTTTTTTATCTTTGTTCTTTATCAATGCATGATAAAGAGCAAGTCCTCCTGGACCTGTACCTATAATAATAACTTTTGGAATTTTTACGTGTTGCATATCTTAATAAGTTAATTCAAATGTGTTAAAATTTTGTTTAAAATTTTTAAAGTGTTAAATTATTTATCAATTAGAATTGTTAAAATTATTTGTCAAAGTTGTTAAAATGTAATCTTTTGATTCTTTATTAAACGCGATTTTGTTTGTTTTTGCTTTTTTTTTATGAGGGATATTTATAAAAAATATTGATGCCAATGAAATTTATATTGAAGAATTAGTGAAACGGTCATTTCTTCGTAGAAGAAACCAACTCATTAAGATAATTAAACGTGATGCATAAATCTACCCGAAAATTAAAGCGAGAGTTTTTTTTTAGCAAAAGAAAAATGTTTGTACGACATCAATCATATTTTTGCGGTCATTTCGGTACTGAATTTATTCGTTCAGCTGACGGATTTACTAATTAAATATGCAGCTCGTCAATCACTTTTTTTACTATGATTAAATAGTAAAAACTGAAATTTTCCGGTTTATCAAATGTAATCCTTATTTTCCACCAATAAATTTTATACAAATTTTTTTTTTTTTTTAAGTTTCTGGTTAAGACGAACGTTCTGAGACAAATTTTTTCTGCTGTTTATTAATGAGAAGTTAGAAAGATCTCTCTGTAAAGTTGGTCACTTTTTTTGTTAAAATATTATAACCTTTCAAGTTAATCGGAAACTACGCAAACTGCACAAACAAGTTTTGGTCTTTAGAAATATATTTTTATTCAATATTTTTAGTTTTTAAATAAAATAAAATTAAATAATATTAATTTTTATAGGTTGGTGAATATTTTGTAAGTGAATGTTGGATGTTGAGAGAAAATAAAAAAGGGAAAAAGTCATTGAACATGTAAATATTATTTGAACATGTAAACTAAAAATTTTTCTTTAAAAATAAAATTATTTGTATTTTTTATGTAAATTAAAAAAAGGTTACAATGTTTGTAAACTATCTTAATATTTCTTTAAATTTGACGCTTATAATAAAGAAAAAATCATCTTTTTGGCACTTTTTTAACAACATACATATAAACTTCAAAACAAATTTAACAACAATAATATATCTATATTAATGATGTTTAACTTCTCACGTAAATAACTTTAAAAAAGAACCAGTATTGGCAGAAGAATCTCAGTTTAAAGTTCAAAAAAATTCATAGAAATGCCTTACATATCAAAATATTTAAGGAAGTGATGTATTTTAATAAAATTAGTGTTATTTAAAAGTTCATATATACAGTAGTGGTGAAGCCGTGATCCGTGACTGTGCTAAAATTAGGTCTCGTTTGGGTTTGAACATTTAAGGCTGAAATTATATTAGCATAGTTAAGAGTTAACTTTTCCATTTGTTTAGTTAAGGCTTCTAGAGCATCATTACTAGGAGCTCTAACCTTTCAATCTATTTGACGTTCTTGTCTTTCAGCTTGTCTTTCAAAATAAACTCCAGCTTCATAGTCGATAGCCTCTTGAATTGCTTCATTAATATCCGCAGGTTTACTAGCAGCAACATATCATACTAAATCCCTTTTTAATCCTTTTAAAAATAATCTAATAATATATAGTTCTGGTAGTTCACTATCAGGGTCTACCTTCTTTCTTAATCTCTTGAATCTATTAGCGTACAATTCCACCTTTTTATCTCTTCCTTGAAGAATATCATTGAGTTCATAGTGCCATTTATTTTGTTGCTCAATCGTAAAGAAATGGTTTATGAATTTAAACACAAAGGTCTCAGTACTATCTTCATCAGCCGCTACTTTCCAACCTTGGTCAAAGGTAGTATCTTCATACCAATCAGCAGCTACATAATTGAGGAATCCTCTAGCAATTTCAACCATTTATTCATTATTCCAGTTGTTAGCTTTCGCAGCTTTCTCAAAATGAGCAATCCAATCAGATAGATCCTCTTCACTTTTTCCTGAGAAGCGTTTTACTGAGACTAAATTGGTTTCTCTTTTCGGTGGTTGTTGTGCTGGTCTGTTTTAAACTCCCTGTACGAGTTGATCGATAGAATTAATAAGTTGAATAACGAAGGTATTAAATTGATCTGCGTCCATTATGCTTCTTCTTGGAGGTTCTAATGAAAGAGATACTAAAGGTTGTAATTCGATTACTATAGGATGTTCAAAGTTGATTGAATAATAAGATTTTTCTAGTATGCGAATAGCAATAAAGTCAAAATCAAATCTGAAATCAAAAGGGTTGACAAAAGTTAAACTGTATAACAATAATTTGGCTTCTCTTTTAAGAGTTTTAATGAGCTGTAATTCACTAAAATATTGCCGATACTGATCAAACAAAGTTACTGTTTTTCCAGTATATACAAGAGTACCAAATTCAGCGCTAATCTAATTCCAAAAATGTTTGAATGGTAAAGATACTTCTTCTGGAGGTGGATAGCAAATTACACAAGTGTAGTCAGTTGAT